GATAGGTCGGAGAAAATCATCAACTCCTCCCTCCCTCGAACCTCGATCCATTCGGGGGCTAATGATGAGGTTATGTACCCAGGGTAGGATCATGGACCTGTCTAGGATACCATACCCAAGGACACCCTTAGAAGAAGCTACCTTCCAGTCGGCCAAGAGGGACTTCACTCGACGAACCCAAAGACACTCGACCATGAAGATAGTCACTCGACCATGAAGCTAACCACTCAACGGCCAGGAGACCTAAAGTCACTCAGCAAGCAACGGTCTGTCATTAAGTAGCTTTAATAGTCTTCATAACACTTTATGAGGGCGTTACCAGTAACCCCCTGTCTTAATGTACTTTAAACCCTGCATAACTGAGGGCCGGAGGGGTCTGGCGAACTCTATATAAGCCAACCCCCTCCTCAGTGTAGGGGTTCGCACCCCTGTAACTCATATACACATAAACCAGTCGACCGCCTCCGGGCTCCGAGACGTAGGGCTATTACTTCCTCAGAGAAGGGCCTGAACTCGTTAAACACTCGTGTGTACAACTACTCCATAGCTAGGATCTTGCCTCTCCATACCTACCCCCCATTCTACTACCAGACATAGAACCACGACAGTGTCAGCGCTGCAACTCGCGGTGTTGACTTCTGCACCACCAAGTGAGGATGCTCGGGTGGACGCACTCTAGGCTCCACCACCGCCAGCGACGGTTGGCACCGATCCAGGCACCGGGGCAGGCGCGGCTCATGTTCCCCACGGGTCCGATGACCATGGCAGTTTCAACATCTCACGATGGTCGTCGAGGGCGCCGTTCCAGACGCCCCCACTACTCCCAACAAACGGTCAGTGTGATACTCCTCCCTCTCCCAGTGCACTCTCTCCTTTCGTGCATGCGAGCCAACTCCTCACCGGGCTCGGGCAAGCGCATCCATCGATTTCCTTTCCGCAATTTTTGGGGGAGAACCCCAACTTGTGGAATACAATCTATGAGCAGTATTTCACCATGTTTGGGATAGCACAATCATTCTGGGTACCCATGGCTGCTTTGAATTTTTCTGGTCTGGCGTCAATTTGGCTTCCATCGATCCAAAAACACCTCTCTGAATTTGACTGGAATTCTTTCACTGCGCACTTGTGCACGCATTTCGGCCGAGATCACCATCAGATGCTAATCCGACAGTTTTACACTGTCCGACAAACTACTTCGGTTGTTGATTACATTGTGAAGTTTGAATTGATTATCAATCACTTGAGTTTCTATTCTGACACTATGCATCTGTTTTATTTCCTCACTCGATTCGTGGAGGGGCTGAGGAAGGACATCCGGGCGGTGGTCCTGGTCCAGTGCCCACCGGACCTGGACACGGCTTGCACTCTCGCCTTAGTGCAAGAGGAAGTGGCCGATGGCGTGTTCGGTGCCTTACCGCGGCCACCCGAATCGACTCTAAGGCCAAGCCTGGCGCTCCCACTTCCTCCACCTCCACCGTGCCTCGCTCCTCCGTCAGGGGCCACTGATCGTCGGGGGACGTAGGCGGCGCACGCTGACACATCCAAGGTGAAGGCGCTGCGAGATTACCCTCGGGCCCGCGACCTCTGCTTCAAATGCCGAGAACGCTGGGGGCACGACCACACCTGCCCGACTACACATCATCGAGGAGATGCTGGAGCTCTTCGGCGTCGACGGCAACCAAGAGGACATCAGGGTTCCCGTTCCGCCATGTGACATGGCCATGGCCATCTCACGCTCCGCGCGGTAGTGTCTCGGCCAAGGCATTCCAACTTCTCGCCACTATGCAAGGGCAAGAGGTGTTGTTACTCGTCGACAGTGGCAATTCTACATCCTTCATCGACCAGAAGCTAGCACAACAGTTGAACGGCGCCACTCCTCTCGTGTGGCTGATGGGGGTGAGCTGGCATGCACTGCATCCATTCCAGCCTACCAATGGTCCTCTCAAGGCCACGATTTCGTCACCGACATGAAGATACTTCCTCTAGGCACATACGACACCATCCTCGGCATGGATTGGTTGGAACAACACAGTCCCATGACAGTCGATTGGAAGGCGAAGTACATTCAGTTTCCCACTCCTATGGGGCGAGCTCTCCTGTTCGGTCATGAAGCCAATTCCACCACTTGCCATGTGATCAACGGAGTCCAACTTCAGAATCTGCATCGCCAAGGCTCTCTGTTACATGTCATCATTCTGTACCAGCTTGAGGAAGGGCCAGCAGGCAACCCAACAGAACCACATGAGCTGCAACAACTCCTGGCTGAATTCGATGATGTATTCGGTGAACCTTCAGGCCTTCCACCGCGCCGCGCCTGTGACCATACCATACCCCTGGTCCCCGGCGCGCAACCTGTCAATATCCGGCCTTATCGGCACAAGCCTGACCACAAGACAGAGATTGAGCGTCAAGTGGTAGAATTTCTCTGGTCGGGTGTGATCCAACGCAGCCAGAGTAACTTCTCTTCGCCTGCTATTCTAGTCAAGAAGATGGATGGGACTTGGCGGTTATGCATCGACTACCGCCACCTCAATGCCATGACCCGTATCAGCAAGTTTCCTGTACCAGTGATAGAAGAGTTGCTCGATGAACACCATGGAGCTAGGTGGTTCTCAAAGCTCGATCTCCGAGCTGGCTACCATCAGATACGGCTGGCTGAGGGCGAGGAGTTCAAGACGGCATTTCAAACACACTCGGGGCATTATGAGTTCAAGGTTTTATCTTTTGGATTGGCGAGCGGGCCAGCCACGTTCATCTGTCACCGAAACTCTGCACCCACTCCTCCGAGTGTCCTCTTGTTCTTCGACAACATCTTGGTATTTAGCAAGACCTGGGAAGAACATGTTGACCATCTCAAGCAAGTCCTCAAGCTGTTGCGAAAAAATCATTGGAAGGTCAAGCGCTCCAAATGCGAATTCCGCCAGCAGCAACTGTCCTATCTGGGTCACGTCATCAGCGGCGACGGGGTAGCCATGGAGCCCAGAAAAATACGTGTCGTGCAAGCTTGGAACACACCCAAGGATGCCAAGGAAGTTCGCCAGTTCCTCGGCCTTGCAGGATACTACTGTCGCTTCGTCCGCGGGTTTGGAGTGATAGCTAGACCTCTATTCAACTTACTCAAGAAGGGGGTGCCGTTCATCTGGACAGATAACACAGCGCAGGCGTTTGAACCGCTCAAACAACAACTGATCACAACCCCGGTACTCGCGCTCCCCGACTTCAACAAGACTTTTACAGTGGAAACGGACGCGTGCGACAAAGGGATTGGCGCGGTTCTGCAGATGGATTTCGTTGAAGTCCTGCCTCAATCCGGGAAATTCAACTTCCTCTGGGTTATAGTGGACAAGCGCGCCAAGTTTGCGCATTTTCTTCCGTTAACACACCCGTACACGGCAGCGAAAGTGGCCCTTCTCTATATGAACAACGTGTATAGAATCCACGGATTCCCTGCGGCCATTGTGTCTGATCGTGACCCGGTCTTCACTAGCCATTTTTGGAGGGAGCTATTCAAGTACGCGGGTACAGAGCTGCGGTTGAGTACGACCAACAATCCACAAACCGACGGACAGACTGAAAGAGTGAATCAGTGCGTGGAGACCTACCTCAGATGCTTTGTGCACGCCTGTCTGACACGATGGAGTCACTGGATACCGCTTGCCCAGTTCTGGTACAACTCCTCTCACCATTCCAGCATTGGGATGTCGTCGTTCAAAGCAATGTTTGGACACGAACCACGGCACTGGGGGATCACTCCTACTTCTGAGTCCACAGTCTCAGCACTCCACTCTTGGCTGGATGAGCGTGTCGTGGTGCAGGACCTGCTTCAACAGCATCTCAACAGGGCACAACAGCACATGAAGGCCCAGGCAGACAAGCGGCGATCGCCTCGTACCTTTGAGGTGGGCAACTCGGTCTAAAGCTCCAACCAGACATTCAAACCTCCGTCGCCCGGCGAGCCAACCATAAACTGGCGTTCAAGTACTATGGACCATACCAAGTCATCGCCAAGATCAATGATGCTGCATACAAGCTGGAACTCCCTCCACACTCGCAAGTTCATCCGATCTTTCACGTGTCCCAGCTGCGCCACTGCCTTCAACCGGGTACGCCGTCCAACCCAACTCTTCCGCATGTTACTGGTGCACCTGTCGTGCCAGTTGCAGTCCTTTAGCAACGTTGGCGCAAAAGAAACGGCGCCATGATCAAGCAAGTTCGCGTTCGCTGGTCCGACGAATCAGCCTTCGGTGACACTTGGGAGGATAAAGATGTGCTACAAGCTCGATTCCCGGCAGCAGAGGCTTGGGGGCAAGCCTCGTCGCAAGGAGGAGGGGATGTCAGCGTCCCTAGCTCCAGCCAGGCACCTGACAAGGAGGACCCGACCGGCAACGACCGGTCGCTGCCCAACGGCCCACCAGGGAGAAGAAGCCCAGCTCACTCGTCACCGGCCCACAATGAACGAAGTGAGCCCAACAGCCGCCTGGTACTTATACCACCCCGACCGAAGACCCGAGCATCCAATGGATCACTGAATCGGCGGCGGCACGAACCCTAATTTATCTTCCTCCCCTGTTCCTTTCCCAATTCGTGTACTCTGCTCATAATCGCTACAGTACTACCGAGCAATATACCACTACTCTTACAATGAAGCACGCCTGCGGTGCTCGTGTAACAGGAGGCGGAAGTAGGAGGCCCGTGCACGCTGTGTACCTACCAGTTCGCGGTGTAGTAGGTAGTCACTGCCGTCGGTGCCGTGGGTCGAAGGGCCCACCAGAATCGTGCCTCGCACAGACTCCAGGGTCCCACTGAAGCTCCGGCCCCACCCGTCAGCCCGTCGCCCTTTCCAGCCGTCACAGCTCACAGCGCCCGGGCCTCGCACAAGCCATTAATAACCGAACACGGAGGGCAGGCGGAAACTCCACAGCTCATCTCCCCACCTGAACGGCCCTATCGGCGAAGAGGGGAACGGCGCGGCGGGAAGCTGCTGGATCGCGCGCGCAGCCATGTCCGCCGACGAGGCCGCACTGAAGGTACACACATGCCTCGGGAGGCTTCCTCTGAATTTACACTTCTCTTAGAGGGTAGGTTTCTGCCGTCGGATCACCCGGAATTTAGGCAATTTTCGAGGGGCGAACCTGGGCGGAGGGTTCAGTTGCTTGGGATCCTTATGGCTAATGTGGGCGATTCGTGCGCTCCTGACGCCAATGGTGCTCGGGATTTTGGTTTGCGCCTTTTGGGGCCACGGTGGAAGGCCGCCCGAAGGGGGCTGGGCGCGGCTGAATTTCGGTGTGTATTTCTGTTTGATTTGGGCATTGCAGAGTATTTAGTTCAGGAGTGCCCATGAAATGCCCCTATTATGCGATGCCGTGTTGCTGATCCTGTAGTCTTAGACTCCCCTGAAGAGGATGATTAAGCATCAACTGTGTGACTCAGTTCAGCTCATCCCCATTATTTTAGTATTATTAGGTTGCCCTATTCCATGTGCATCATGTCCAAAAACATTGACTGATCACAGTAGGTATATAAATACTCTATTCTTGTAGAGTTGCAATACGGTTTCTAATCTTAACTTCTAGTGGCCATCTCTTTGAGATCATATATCTTGCCTCAGTTCTTGTCGATCAACTTGCACTTGTTTCCCCAAGTGTTCCACCTTTGTGATATTTGAACATATTATATCATTAACTTCTGTCTTCTTTTTTCTGTGGGTTGACAAAAGCACATATAATACTCATCTTTGACACGTGGGAGAAGAATATGCGGTGCTGTCCTGTTGAGCATTGACTTGTTTGTCACATAGTGACTGATGCACATTTTGAGACCAAAATAGTACTGAAAACCTTGGATGCTATATGTTGTGTAGAGCGGATACAGTTTGGTGCCTTACCAGCTTCACAACTACTGCTAGATGCACGGCTAAACATGCCCTCTCAGTTTGCTTAAAATCTTCTGAATTTTCTATAATATCTGACTATACTAGGATTTTCACGAACCATGCCTGACTATATGATGCAAACTAAGACTTTAAAGTCATTGAAACAACCCGTGATTTCATTTTGTTTAGTCTATCGCTGCTGTTAATACATGTCATACTGTAGAGTTTATAAAATGTCTACCAGCAGTACTTCGCCTGTACTATATCTGTTCCTTTGAGTGGTCCGCTTGATGCTGGAAAGCTTGTTAACTCTGTTACCCTTGTCAGATTTCATGTTATCTTAATGAGGTTTATTCTATTACAGACCTGTCATGAGAGAATAAACCTTAGTGTAGCTGCCTCACATCAAGCTGAGAATGGGTCCGTCACCACAGTTAGTTCCAAGGAATCAGAGGAGGCGACCTATGCATTTCTTCCTCCTATCGAGTCAACTGACGCGCACCTTCATGAGTTTGCAGAGGCCATGAGAAGTAATAATACAAATACTTGACATCATCTGAAGTCTGTCACTCTACTGTCTAAAACTTATGTGTGTCTGCACACATGTGTTTAATGTACATACACCTTGCAATTGAAGCTGTTGGAAAAGCACTGCGACAAGTTGCGGAAGGGAAAGCTGCTGCTCAAGCAGAGGCGGCTGAGTGGAAGCGCAAGTATGAATCGGAGAAGGCAGCCAAGGCACACACGCATCACAGTGTAATTAAAGGTACACAATTGGATTTTTGAGTTTTACTAGTTCATGGTAGCTATCACATAATACTGCAAAACATCTTTTTGTCGTATTTCGATACATGATACATTATTATTTTTAATAATGATATATTATTAGATCAGCCTCCATTGTCTTAGCAATTCAAACCAGTCAACGAAAGAAGGATCCATTGTACTGAAGTTGTACCTTCCGTGCGCAGAATATTAATGAACTTTCTAAAAAATATCATGTAAACATAGTTTAATTATTCTAAAAAAGCATGTAAAAAAAGCTAATACACTGTTTTAGCAGAAATACTCAGCGTCCTAGTGGAAATATTTGCATGTTGGCCTGGGCCCAGGCCCTGGCTGGCACCCCCCTGTCTCCGCCACTGCACATCAGTATCGAAACTACGCAAATAACTGATTCCAGATACATAAGGAATGTAGTCCAACAAGTTAACAAACTGACTACTTTATCTTATCACGCACCTGATTTTGTCAAGAAAATTCATACTAAACTGTAACATGTGCAGGCTGCAGCAACTGTGTCAAGGACAAGCTAGAGCATTTGGCTAGTAAGCTGACACTGGAGACTGCCTCGGTTGATGAAACAGGCTGTTGCGGAAACCATGGGATCTGCTCACGTCAAATTCTCCAGGACCAGTGTACTGGACCTAACCGTAAATCAGATGACAGGATTGTTGGAAGAAAGGTATCCTTTGGGCTTTGGGCAAGCATATACCCTCACATACGTCTGTTTGCAGCTGTTGGTTTACATGAACATACTAATGTGTTTTCTTCGTAATGTGGTTTGATGCTAAAATCAACTCATATCCATCTGTTCGTCATCTGATGCTGCCGGGCTGCCTCTAAATACTTGTTGTCACCCAGATTAACAAAAGGAAGGCAATAAAAAATTATATTTGAAAAGAACTTTTTGCACATTAAATATGCACTATTTTTTATTTATTTCTGATTTTCTATATCTATTAGTGAAGAATCTCCTTGAAAAGCACAAGCAGTTGTCTATGACATTTTGCTTGTGATACGCAAATAACAGGAATGCATTTCATGTTTTGTCGCAGTTGGAAGAAATAGTCTTTTTTCCAGTCAATTCGACTTGTCCTTTTTTTTTTTCTTTCTAAAAGCACCTTTTTCTTATATTTGCAGGTACCATTTAGACTTTCATGGGGTAGCAATGGGGATAAGAACGGTCAGCACAAGCATGATTTTGTGTCCTTCGAAAAAGGGGATATTACAACAGCAGAACGCAGCAATAAACAGGTAGCTCTTTTATGCTCAGTTTGATCCATTTTGAACAGAATATCTTATTTGTTTCACTCTTCTGCAATGATTGTTTGAGAATTCGAAATAATCTCATTGCTGCTATATCTTTTTTCATGTCAACAAATACTGTCCTTGCAGATTTTTCTGAAATGGGATTCCCCTCCACAAACAGTTCTTTTTGTGACTAAACCTAATTCCAACTCCGTGCATGCTCTCTGTTCCGAAATGGTCAGGTATGTTTCTTTGCTGCCTATCCCGAGAGAATTTTACTAATATCAATTATCTGGTACTCTACGCAACACTATGTTTTTGCTGGAACTTATTATCTCCTGCTTAATGTCTTGTCGAACTGTATCTCCAAATATATTTGCCCACATGTCCTAAGTGTTCTGTGTATTTCTTGCAGATGGCTTAAAGAACATAACAACATAAACATCTTTGTAGAGCCACGAGTTAGCAAGGAACTACTTATTGAAGATTCTTACTTCAACTTTATTCAGACATGGGATAATGGTAAGAGATCTTGATTGTATATTTCATTTCTCCCCGTTGCTTCTGACTGTACTTTTGGAATATAGGGATATTTGTTGTAATTTTAATGTCTGGATGTATTTTATTTTTAAAATATCTATAACCTGATATGTGAATAGTTGTTATGGCTGTTGATTAGAAGAATGAAAAATGCTATGCTGTTATTTAGCAATTACATAAAGGACTTATGCACCTCAGAGTTACAGAGGATGCAAGTGGATGTTCAAGTAATATTCTGAATTTCTGCTCCATCCATGGTTTCTTGTGGGAGTACTCCTGTACAATCTCATTGTCGAACACTCAAGCACCTAAATTCCTCTCATGATTTTAACAAGTGACAGTGATATGGGGTTCTAGTTACCTCGAGCAGTTATTCTTTACCATCAGTACACAAATTTGCTGATGTTGTTTTTGTGTGAGATAACCCGTTTCCTCTACCAAGACTACCAAGAACGAACTGCTCTCAAGTCTCAATAGTTGTTATATTTGCTATAATTGTTACTAGCTTCCTGTTAATGCTCGAGGGTCATCTTTTATTAAGCATTTCCTTCTCCATTGATGAATTATATTCAGTAAACTTCTTTTGTGTTTTCTTATAGATGATTTTAAGCTATCACTGATTGTACTACTTTTAGTCACATATAACCTTTTCCATATAGTGCTCAACTAATCAGAAATATCTGATAGATCAGGAAATGAAGACATTACACACGAAGGTTGACCTCATTGTAACTCTCGGTGGTGATGGAACTGTTCTGTGGGTATGCAGCACAATTATTGTGACAGTTTATTGAATATGGATGTTGTGTGGTTAGTTTGACAGAGCACAACATTTTGTTTAGTTCAGCCTTTAATGAAATATACTAGCAGTCTTATAACACAACATTTTGTGTTATTAGGGTGCCTAGTTCCTTTGTGCATAGGAATTTACTATGCAAGTGTCAGCTCGCAATAAGGACATCCAAATGATTAGAATAGGTCAAACAGTTTTTTTTCCAGGTTCTGTTAATGTAAAAAAAAATCAATTACATATACCTTGAAAGGAAACTGAGTAACTATCAGATGTACATAAAAAATACAAGCTATGTGGATGGAAGAGACTTGTAGATAGATGATTGTATAAGTTCACTATATAAGAGCAACTTAGAGGAAAATATTAATGCTATTAAGCATGGCTAGACCGCTAGAGTGCAAGATGTTGAAGTGTGCTTAGTTAACAGCACATTGGAGAGTGGTTCGTCCACTCTTCTACTGTCAATGCAAGATGTGGCGGCTGATTGATTTGTGGCTACAATAAACCCTTTTCAGGGATTATCGATAGTGAGCCAGGTCTAGTTCTATGAGCAATAGCACCGAGTTCTTCAATACATTTCTAATCACATGGATACTTCTCTAACCTAGCTATTTTCTCGAACTCATATTGTATTAGAAAAAGAATGACGAGCCCAAAGTACAAATTACCAACTGTGGGATGACCAAACCGAAAACAGACAAAGCCAAAACCAAAACTAAGAGAAGACCTACTCTACACGACAGAAGTAAGAGATACCTACTCTAACCTACTCCAATCTAGCAGCTGCTACGGTTGGTAGTATAAGCTGAACAATGTCCATTGAATTACTCAATAACCTAAATGCTGGCTGTGTTATGTTGAAACAAATTCTGTCCTAGTTTGTTGTTCTCCATAATTTTCAGTATTTATGGCTTGTTTTTCTAATCTGTTTAAGCTAGGGAGCTCTTTAACATGACCATATCTGTAAACAGGCCGCATCATTGTTCAAAGGGCCAGTTCCCCCAGTGGTTGCATTCTCTCTTGGATCATTGGGCTTCATGATTCCCTTCCGTATCCTTAATCATCAGTGTTATCTTTGTTATGAGTGCTTGCTAACCATGTTGCTAAATTGCACTGCTGTTTATTTTTGTTCTTACATCGTTAAAAATTGGATATTGCACTTCTGCCTTTTCAACTCTGCATAGCAGATCCATGGCATGTTTGATTCCATCTGCAACTGTCCATAGCAGATTGCAATGTTTGATCTCAGAGATTTAACGTCCATACTTCACTATATGTGTCACAATCTCATACAATCTCTATACCAGGGATGCTTACATATTTTGCAGACTAACAGTGAATCTTAAACTATATTAGTAATACAACTTTTTTTTACTCGGTGGAGCTTTATGTCTGTGCTCAACCCACCATCTATATAGTTTGTCCTTAACTTAAGGTTAGCAAGCGAACAGTATCGTGAATGCTTGGGCAATGTGCTGAAAAGACCATTCACCATCACACTGAGGAGCCGTCTGCAGTGTCATGTAATTCGTGATGCAGCTAAAGATGAAGTTGAGACCGGGGAACCGATTCTAGTGCTTAATGAAGTTACAATTGACCGAGGAATGTCATCTTACCTTACCTACTTAGAATGCTATTGTGATAGTTCTTTTGTTACATGCGTACAAGGAGATGGGCTAATAATATCTACAACATCTGGAAGCACAGCCTATTCACTGGCAGCTGGAGGATCAATGGTACATCCACAGGTATACCTTTAACTCTACATATACTCCCCAGATTCTATTTAGCATTAGCATTATGTTTTAAATCACTGGAAAGGTTGTTATCTGCCTTGTTCTGTATTAAATAATATAATGCGTATTAGGTTTTATTAAGACAAGACTTTGACCAGGAATTACTTGTTAATTGTTATTTATATGACATGGAATTGGTATCACTAGATTCGTTTATAAAATACCCACTGATGATTATGTTTTTATATCATATAAACCATTTATTAGTGGAGTAATTCTTGGTCAAAGCCTTGCGTTAATGAATACTAATAGGCCTTATATCATGATGCCGGGAAAGTATATATTTTCAAACTAGTTGAGGTGTATCTCAGTTTTTAAAAGGCCTAAAAACCTTGTCCTGGTTATTCTAGTTCAGTTTTTAAGGGGTCACTGTTTCTACTAGATGCATTTTATATTGAGTAATGTTGCCTGAGCAGCTCTTCAAATCGTCACAAAGCCCATTGTACATGTAAAATTAATTAAGAGGAATCAACAACCAACAATTCGACTAGAATGTATTAGCAATTAGACAATTTTGATGGTTCTATTTTCGTCACTCCCTGGTTTGTAATCATTTCATATTTCATTCCCTTGAGTTACTGCTTCTCATTTAAGTTGTCTGTATTACAAGTTTGATGCTACGATTTGCCTGTGCATGCAGGTCCCAGGGATCCTTTTCACACCAATCTGCCCCCATTCATTGTCATTCCGGCCTCTGATACTGCCGGAATACGTCACTCTGCGCGTGCAAGTACCGTTCAACAGCAGAGGGCAAGCCTGGGCGTCCTTTGACGGCAAGGGCAGAATTCAGCTAGGGCCAGGCGACGCCCTCATCTGCAGCGTCTCTCCATGGCCCTTGCCCACGGCATGCCTGGTGGACTCGACAACGGACTTCCTGCGGAGCATCCACGAGGGCCTCCACTGGAACCTCAGGAAGAGCCAGGCACTGGACGGCCCTGCCTGACCGATGAAGTTTGCGTGTCACTGGAACTCGAGATGGCTGACGAGTCGTTAGATGTGATATTTCAGAGCATCTCCTCACAGCCCAGCGAAAATGGAGTGGATATGTATCTATATATATGTGCTCCCGTGTTGGTCCGGTTCTTTATGAATCCTTGAATATTCTTCTACTATATATGCTGCGCATAAAAGGGTTTATCAATATGTTTAGGTTTAGGTTTGTGGAATTCGAACATGGTCGGTCTGTCGCCATGTGAATATCTATAGCTTTGTGGAGTAGAGGTGATGTAATTATGTAAGAGTTGCAGCTGAAACTCTGATGTGAATAATGGGTGGATTTCTTGCCTGCAGCTTGCCTAAGAAGAGAGGCACACTAATAAGCTTTGCTTGCGTGTGCCGATTCCTAATCATAACCAGTTGATCAGAAACAGTATTTGTTGTTGGTGCCATACTTCCGTGGGACCTGATTATATTGCTGGTTTTCTTGTCCCGCGGTTCGTTCTCCTTTTCTTTCTTTTATTAATGGAAATCTTCAGGTGGGGAACCTCTTCCCCGATGACCATTCATTTTATTTTATTTTTGAGAAAGAAAACCACGTAACGGCATTGCAGATAGCATCCACCACCCGAAATACTCCTACAAGCCAGTCGGCGTTCCCCATGCAAAGCAAAGCTACGTCCCCGGCAGCTGCCAAACGAGTCTGTAGTGCCTAGTGCACCACGGGTCGGTACCAAAGTGCATCATCCGTCGAGTCGTTCTCTTGAAAGCTCAGTAAGAAACGCTTCGCTACGAACTCCAACAAAAATTCGGGCACGGAAATGGCCAGAGCCTCTCAAATCTCTGGATGCAAACCGATAAACATGAAAAATCAATCGACCTGTCAGTCGGACTCACGGTCTCGCTCTCGCCCGGCCGCTCATGATGTGTTTGGTTGTCCGCGTTAGACCCAACCAGGCCAAATTGAGTCAAGAATAATGTGTTTGGTTGCATATGGGGTGGGTCAGATCGTCTCGGCACGAATCTTAAAGCAGCCCAGAGCCTTAGCTCGCCGGAAACCATCGAATCGGCAGTTTCCAGCGAGCCAGGTTCAGTGCGGCGCAAGCTCGCACGCGAGGAAGCAACCCAAAAGCGAGTGTGGATGGCGGGAGATGGAAATCGGGCGCGGCG